TGGCCTGATTAGCAAAGGGAATGTTGCCAAAAAATTCAGAAAGCTGCAAAATGACAAATGGGCATGTAAATATTGCCTATTTACGATAGTTTAATAACGCGCAAAGATCGCCTTTCTGATCGCTTTTCAGTCGCCGTAAAATATCGTAAATATTCTCTATACGAGTTTTTACAAGGCACATAAAGACAACGTTTTTAGTCTCTCTCCGTGATCTTTACGCACTATCGTTTTCAACGTGTGAAGAAATTCTTTACAAGAGTGTAAAGAAGTTCGTAAAGACGCGTAAAGAGGATCTTAACGCTTACTTTACGCCATCTTTATGGATTCGTAAATTTATAATTTCACGCTGTGGTAGACGACGGCAAAGGAAACAAACCAAACCATCCGGATTAAACTGTTTTGATTCAAAGCTGGATGTTTAATTACTTTTAAACTTGGATTTTGAAAAATCAAGCCATTTTAGTCACTCTTTGGCATTTAGTCTTTATTGGAATTTATTTCGTCCGGGGAAGTAGGTGTAAATTTCTGCTTTAAATCAAATCAAACGAGACTTTTGACGTTCACTTATCATTTTTGAAAGTCTATCGAAACATGTTATATTTCAATTTGTCAAAACGAGAAAGCGCCTTCACAGTTGGTTTTCTCTTCCAGCGGAGGTAAAACCAGTTACTCTTGATTAATACTGAAACCAAAGATTTATTCTGGATAACAAAAATTAATCCTTTTTTACCAAGGTTGTTCGGTCAAGATGGCATTAATACAATGCTACGTCCAATGTAAACATATTTTCTTATTTACAACATATATCTTATTTACAAGTTCTCGCCGATCACCTGCTTCCCTGGCTACCAAGTTAATAAACCTATTGGCCAAAGGTCCAACCTCATCAGTTGAATTATAAATCTTCTTGTTCTTTTTTATTACACATCGACTAAATCCATCTTAACTTTATCTTTCTTTATCTTACTCTATTCTCTCCCTGTCGCCCATACCCAGGTTAATCCCGATATTGATTACTCGTCGAGGACTCGAAATATTCATTACAAACTAGAAGATTAGCTAGAGTTATTTCACAGTCCACTTTCTCAATAGATTCTTCAGTTCAGCGTAAGCTTGCTTCCCGTTTTGTAATGGATCGGAAATTCGACATCTTTTTATCTAACGATGTTCAGCTCCTGAGGACACTATATGGAAAGGTTTTGTCCAATAAAACATGATCGTGCATGATTACTCTTAAAACGCAACGAAGTTAGTTAAAATAATTAAGTAAAAAGCTTCTTGTGGCTCTAATGCCAGCCGATTGTTAAACAACAACACGGAACACTGTGACAACTTTTTGACAGTAAATGTTTCCATTTTTAAATCTCTACTGACGAGAGTATTCTCACCTAACTATATTGAAAAATGCAACCCCATTATAGTTAATCCCGTCGTGAAAATGCGACCCAATCCAGCGAAAAAAGCCCGATTAGCCTCTCACTATGAAGTATTAACCCTCCGCCCCACGGGCATGCACACCGCAAGAAATGATACTGGCGGGTCTTGTCAAGCACAGCTTCCGCGCGATGACGTACTTCAAATTTCTAAAACGTTTATTTATCTCCTCGTTGCTTAGTCGCCACATAATCCTAGCCCTTGAGTATCGGAACAAACTTAATTTGGGAGTCCCGGTCAGTTCATTTTCACTCGAAAGGCTGTAACAATAACAGCCTAAGTTCCTCATATAGAAATAAGAAAATGCTTTTTAGATAATTGTATTTTGAAAACGTTGCAGAATTAAAGTTCTTTAAATTTTTGTTTTGTTTTTTTCTTTCCTTCTTTGGGTGGCATTGAGAGGCATTCTACAATAGTATATATCCTCCCACACCTCACCGGGCGGATATTGCAAAAGATCAGATATTAGATAGACAAACGGAAACTCGGATGATAACGGTAAAGACAAAACCCATAATCTTCCATTAGATCAGAAAAAAGATGTTTTTAGAGAACCAATAAAGCTATTGTTGTTTAATTAACGAAACGTTTATATGTAAATCGATTTTGTACTGTCTCTGTTGACCTCTAACTTTTGAAGAGCTCAACTTCTTTCTCAGTTCGGTCGGCCACTTCCGAATCCTCGTCGTCTACCAACTATGGGTCGTTTTTATACTTCCTATTTGCTTCTGGTAGGGCCTGAATCGTCGGTGCAGCACCAGAAAGAAAAATGACTGCTACAAACAACAGAATGTTCGAACGGCTCGACGAAATCGGCTATTTTCACTTGAACAAATTTCACAAATTGTCGCTTCAAATTAGCGTCATTTTGAAATATTTGCATTGTATGCCCAGTTTTGTTTCAATCAGTACAAAACTGGACGACACAAAACTTTACCATTATGAAAAAATTGAATGTACTGAAGCAAACCGTAAGTAAGAAAATCATGACGAGACCGGCAAACAACGGCTGTGGAAAAGACTCCTTCGTGTCTCACGCGATTATAAAACGAGACTTTGGAGGTTCCACCCGTGACGTCACAGGAAAGATAGCGCCATTCAAGATGGCGAATGTCTCGAATTTGGAAGAGCTTTTACAAATTGAAAATGGACTTTTGATAAAAAAAAACGAATGGTACCTTTAGTGTACTTGATATATTTACTAAAAATCTATGTGAAAATAAAATGAATGTTTTTTGGATTTACATGCCCTTTAAACAACTCAGCCTGTCACGAGTCTCCAGAAAATCTGAAAATCCGACTCGGAGTTCTTTTTCCACTAATGACTGTGTCAATTACTGACTTCTGGTTTCTGTCATTAATGATGTTACGCTCTTATGGACCACAACGGTTTGAGCGACAAGTCGACATTTCCCTGCGACCATCGAAATCAACTGGACTGTAATATTTCAGCTGAAGTTTCCATATTTGTCTGTGAACTAAGTGAATACATCTTGTAACTTGTAGCAAGATAGAATTCCGTGAGCTACATTGTTGCAGTCGCTGCGCGCTGGATAGAATCTTTGAAATTTACACTTTCGGTCGCTGTCCACATGAGTGGTCTGGCCAAAAATAATTTTTGGCTTGTGGCGACGCAAAAACAGAGAATTGGAGAACAACTAAACTATTTTTGAAACATGTGTCCTAAATCCTTTTCATGGGCAAAAAGTAAAATAAATCTTTTTTCCGACGGGAAGTTGAGAGGACCGCACTTAGCGAGAGCGTCACTTAACTTTATTCCATTCTATCCTCCGCATCCCGCTCCTGCCTAAGCTAATCTTGTATTATTCGCGTGTTAAGGACTCGAAATCCTAATGACGGAAGATGGGAGTTGCTCACGGCCCACTTTCTAATGCTCGATAGATTTTTTAGTGCAGTGATAGCCGTGATAACCCCTTCACCGGCTTTTTACTCTCAAGATCTCATAAGAAATTCTCCTTACTAGCTGCCATTCTATTTTTATGGTGTTATTTTGGGAAATTTTGTATTGGATCCTGCAATAAATAATTCCCTTATTGATATTTCTCGATATTGTCAACATTCGACTGCTTGATATTGTGTTGATGCTGTGAGAAGAAATTCTACCTTGAAGCGACTTGAAGGTGGCAGTAACCCGTTTACGTAATTGATCAGTTATTCAACGACTTTATTCTGGCAGCATTTCAATTCACAAAGGCGGTCCGACCGACAGGTTAAATCCAATAAACATGACAATCAAGATTTATGAAAGATTACTTAAACTGTCTCAATTTCTTTCAACACGAAAGAGGTTAGGCAATAAAAAGTGAAAACAAAGTGTTTCTGCGCATTTTTAAACTAAACTATTGGCTTTGTATTTTAGAGATTTTAAATTGAGAGGGAAACAAATAAAAAAACATTATTTTAGTGTCTTGGACTTTTCATTCACAGAACGATAGCTAAGTAGCTTAATGATCTGTCTCCATCCATTTTGAAGATTCCGACCATGTGACAGTTTGAGCAAAATTTATGGCGAATTTTCCAAGTTTGGTATTTGCTATTCATGCTACTCCGTGACTTTGGGAGAGAAATTTAAGACATTTTCATCGTTCATTTTGATCAATTTGCAGTTTCATCATCAGATGTTAGAACAGTGCAGACAATTAAGGGTCAAAGTACGCTCATTTCCTTGCCATACCGTGACCGAAATCATATTTTAATCCTTCTTTATCCAGGGCTTCACTGACAATTCATAAGAGATTACAAATAGCGTTTTCCGTTCGTATCTATCCTAGTTTGTTTTGGTTAGTTTTTTTGTATTATCAAGATATGCAAAATAAAGTACTTGTGAAGTTGTTTACCAATTTGTGATAAAATTAGGTTCCCAACTTACACCCCATACCTTTACAGTCTTTACAGTCAATCGTGTGTAAGAAACTTCACTGGCAAATACGAAAATGAATAATCATTGAGGGCTTGAAAATCCTCGAGTATAGTAGGTTTGAAGCCTATTGGGTTATCATGACAACGCTATCGCATAGCTATTGACGTAAATGCATAAATAATGTACCACAGTCTTTATTTCTTCACACGGTAAAACTCACATATCCTAAGTTACATATTTTGTTATAATCTTAAATCGCTTGATTGATAGCTCTAAGATAGTGAAGCTTAAAAAATCATCAGAAAACGTAAACTCTATAGAAATAAGTAAAAACATTTAGGAACTCTAGCTAATAGCTTAGAACGTTCCATAAATATAAATCCTTCTGAATTAATCTTGATGTGATGAAAAGATTCTTTTCTGAAATCGCATTTGATCAACTATATATGGTTGTGTATAATTTGGTCATTTCTTCTAATCTGCGTATTCTAAGCATTTTAAAATCTGCAATTAAAAGGCGTTGAAAAAAATACACGTTTTATTTCTTGTCGTGCAAATTACCTCTTAAAGTTTAAAAACAGCATCGATTGGTCCGGATTTATTTCTTTGTCGGATATTCAAAAACTGAATTCACAGATATTTTGGTTTAATTTCGACAGCAAGCGAACTAATTTTTAATTGCAGCGTTTTCAAATCAACAATGAATAGTTCGTAAAAAAGAATCAAAATCACCATGCATGCAAATAAATGCACTTGATGCCTGATCGCGAGGGAAACAGTTAACGATGATGTTCCCTTGGCGGAATTCATTCAAATTCAAGGACGGCCACTCGATCACTAATCTGCCAATCACAATTGTAATAAAAGCGAAGTCGACCGATCAGAGGACGCAGAAATCACTATATACATGAACACTTTACCGTCAGAAAATTTTAAAAAAGATCCACTGGTCTAATTTTCATTTCAGTTGATATGGGGGCGCTACCCGCGGGACTGTTTGGATCTAATTTTCCCCAATGGATATCGGCCCAGGTTTCCTTTCGACAATGCGGATAAATTCCGTTGAGATTCGACCAAACAGCACAAGCACTACTGTTGCCATACCACCAGCCTCCGCCTCTTTTTTGAGCACAATGGGCAGGATCTCTATCCCAGGTACCAAAAATGAGATCTTTGTGAGGATTGAGGGAGTCAGAGGAAACAGTTGAATCTGCTTAAAAAATAATAATAATAATAAATACCAAAATTCCATAATATTAGGATCAAGATAACACCTCAAACTCGATAGCTACGAATCGACGAAGTAGGGCAGATATCCAAATACAAAAACACCTGGCAAAATAATAAATACTCAAATTTTATCATTTTGCTAAAGCCGAGGTCAATGAATATTCTATCTCAAGCAGCTTAAGAAAACTATCCAAGGAGGAGCGCGGACTCAACTTGGTATGGGCAGAATTAACAGCAAAACACAGTCAAACGGGCATACACTAGAACGAACCATTCTTTGCAGGTTACGTGGAGTTGGGAGAAGGGATTGAATTAAAAACCAGTTTTTCATAGGATTCAAGTTGTCACTAACTTGTTAATTTGCTAAATTTGCTCAGTTTAAAATGGACATACATCAGTTTAAGCAGCCTCTCTGAAGAAACACATTTTAAATGGTTTTAGCAAAACAGCTCTTAAGCTTTGGTGTGAATGGGGCGGTAGACGTCGATAGGGAAGTAACACATAAAATCGAACGATGAATGTTTAAAAAGACGGCTTACTTACTTGTCATATTGCCAATGTACAGGCGGTAGTCAGCCGTCGCATTCCCAATCCCAAACCATTCATACTCAGCGTGAACAGTTTGGCGCGTAGTTACCCCCAGATCTATTCGAAGCATGTTCTTTGTTTTGTTTTGTGTCAGACGGTTTATCTTGTCCAGTCCGAGCCAAAATTCACCGAGCAAGTTACCGAAGCCATATTTGTAGTTATTCCAGGTGCGGTTAAAATCAACGGAGCCATCCATTCTCTTCTGAAAGACTGTCCATCCCCCACCGGAAGTAGTTTGGTCACAATAGACATTAAAGGCACCTGAGCCATCTGGGTCGATTGTGTAAACACCGCTGATCCTTTGACCGGAATAGTAGAGCTCAACACAGTTCTTAGCTGTTGATAAAATACAAGGGAATAACAGTTTGTATTCTCTTGAAAAATAATAATAAAAATATAAATTAATAGATTTTAATAAAGGTAGTAACACACATGAACGAAGAGGAATCGTGCTTACATTTCGCCAATGTTTTGTTCTCCTGAACTTGAGTGACGTCCTTCGTTATTTTTTCTAAACAGACTGCAGTGTTCTTTTGGCAATCTATTGGGAATGCCCGCGTTGATGGTAGAATTTGATAAGTCACAGAGAGTGCCAGAAAAAGTAGAGCAGAACCTGAAGGATAGAAATCTTATTACATGATGTGAGTTCACTGCTTAGCGCCGATCGAGGATTAGTAAGGGGGGTCGGATTAATATTCGCTGAATAAATAAAGTCCTTGGAGGGGTAAATAGATAGCATGCTCCTCAGAAATTGTTGAAATTTAGATGGTCAGAAAGGTGATTTTTGGCGTTTTAAAGGATAACTGTCAAAAACTGCACTTTCTTGAAAAGTTTTTCATGGATGATAGAAGATGAAGGTAAAAGATGATAGAAAAAGGGAGATGAAGATGGTTGAAGGTGAATGACGGTAGATGAGGGGAGAATAAGGTAAGTGAACGGAAATTATGGTAGATAAGGGTAGATGATGGTAGATAAAGTTAAATAAACGCAAAGTCTTTTACATTCAGGAAAATGAAATTAGATGAAGGTGCTTGAAGGTAGAATAGGGCCGATGATGGTAAATGATGGTATATTTATGAGATGAAAGTAAGTGAAGGGAGTTGAAGATTAATTCATTCGAGGTTAGATAAAGTTAGAAGAGGGGAAATAAAGGTAGATGAAGATAAATGATGGTAAAAGAAGGAAAATGAAAATGAAGATAAGTGAAGGTAGATAAAGGTAAATGAAGATAGATGAAGGTGAATGAAGGTATAAAATGGTAGATAAGACATACGAAGATAGCTGAAGGAAGATGAAGTTATCTGAAGGTGAATGATGGCAGATGAAAATGGATGTAGGTAGATGAAGATAAAAGATATAAGCTGAAGGAGGATGAGGATAAATGAAAGTAGCTGAAGAACAATGAGGGAAATAAAAGGAGAAGGAAGATAGATCAGGGTATATAAAGACAGACATACAAAGGCAAATGAAGGTCTGAAAGTAAAGAATGGCAGATGAAAGTAGACCACGGTAGATAAAGGTAGATGAAAGCAGAGGAAGATAGATGAAGATCAATGATTGTAATTTTAGGTTGATGAAGGTAGATGAGGCCAAAAGAAGATAGATGAAGGACAAGGAAGAACAACGAAGGATATAAAGGTAAATGAGATAATAACATGGTAGATGAAGTGAGATGAAGACAATTAAGGTAGATTAGGGTAGATGAAGGTAAATAAAGGCAAAGGACATGGATAAAGGACAATGAGGCATAGTATGGTAAAATTAAATATATATAAATAAATATATATAAATATTTTAAATATTCATTGCATGATACGTTAGAGGCCTAAGAGTAAACTATTTTATTTTTTTCAGTTGCATGAAAAGCTATGAATATATATATATATATGTATTCCATACCGACACCAAAAACAAAGATATTTGACTCTGGTCCCAGTGAGACCAAATCCCCTTACTGCTGGTTTCTCCTTTTGGCAAATAAGATGAGTTGACGAACAGTGAATAGTTTTAGAATTAATTTTTAACCTTGTTCTGTTACATGCGAACATCTTTTGCCAGTGGCCAGCCCTAACAACAATTTTTTTTTTAATTGTGCATGTGTTTTTCTCAAATGACTAACTGACTGCGTCATCAAAAAACGACCAGAGATTCGTTTACATCATTCAATTAACTCGTACGATACAATCTGTAAATTACTTAAACAGCGTGTCTTCACGTATCCGCCATTAAGCAAATGCCGTAAGCCCTTTAGTGATCTCTTTGGCTTTAAAGAGATGTCAAATAGATCTTTGTTGATTTTTTTCAAAAAGAAACCTTATGCTTTTTTACTCGATTATAAATCATGCTTTGAAATAAAGCGAGAGCCCATGTTGATATCTTGTGGATATCAATACAATAGCTGAAAAACTTAAACTACGTTGAAAAACAAGATAAAAATACAACAATTTTGTCAAATCCCCTTTTAAGCAGATACACACATTTTGCTAGGGGGCTCAGTTCATCCGTGATAGTCAGTCCGTAATGTCGAATCGAATAATAATTGATTGTCGACCATTTAATATAGTATATCCCCTACTCATAAAAATGTAGCGTTGCGTGAAATGGCTTAGCGTAATGTGTGCCATACAAACAGAGTAGCGTTTGCGTTAAGTGGCTTAGTTGCACTAAAAATGGTGTAGCGTTAAAAGATCAGCACGAAAGCTGACACAAACTGCCCAAGACATTCGTTCTTCTTGTTTATAACGAAACTCTTTAGGTTTTATACTTTAATGGCCAAGGATGTTTCTGTTTGTTGTGCGAAGCTACAAGAGTGGCTCGAAACTTTGCTCCCCACATTCCTTTGATACCTATCTCCTTAAAAATGCATCGATTCTGAGGCAAACAAAGAATGCAATAGTCTATCTCACGTTAGGGTCTATCTAAGAGCCGAATACGAAAGAAATAGATGTTTAAGTTGTTTCCACCGAGTGTGGACAAATTCATTTTCAATTCTTGCAAAAGAAGAATTTTGGCACGAACGAAGATAAATCAGCTAAAAGCTCAGGCATAATTCTAACTTGTTAGGGAGATATTGTCAAAAACTAAACGTAGCCGTCCACCGTGCCATTGACTCGACATTGGCAAGCCATTTCCAGGGCAGCCAACTTGAAACTAAACCTTTATAAAAGGAGGTCATTCTATGTACTACGAAAATGTTTACGTTTGAAAAAGTAAGCATTAGTTCTAAGCTCTCCTTTTTACCTAAGTTTATATGCATCAGATGTTACATACCTATTCCTCGGCGATTACCACTCATTGTAAATCCTCGAACAACTATTTGCTAACAAACAGTTAGTAAATAGACTAATAAAACCTCAACCTCTAAGTACTGTTAAGTGCACTTGCCTCTCCAATTTGATTGCTTTTCTGTCTCCTGTGTGCTCCTTGCAAGAAATGATCAAAGTTTGTGCATAATGACGGTCTTTTAAATCATTGTTAAAAGAAAAAACAAATTACCAAACAAATATCCTTTATTTTAAGTCCTAGGTGGGACTTTAGACTTCCGCAGTTATTAAAGACTTACTAATTTGGCGGAAAATGCTCGTGTCAATACGTGCTATAAAAATACCCTTTTATCCTTTTGGTTGGTCTTGCACAGAGTTCGTGGAAACTGATTGTCGACCATTTAATATAGTATATCCCCTACTCATAAAAATGCCATTTTGTGCTAAAAGCCCTGTTTGTGCTTATTTTCAGTTGCGTCGTCTCAAGTAGTCTTCTTGTTTATCGATTCTTTAGAGGCCAAGGCAAAACAAGGTTATAATAGATACCTATCTCCTTAAAAATGCATCGATTAAATATCATATCTCACGTTATGATATTCTAAGAGCCGAATACGAAAGAAATAGATGTTTAAGTTGTTTCCACCGATTGGACAAATTCATTTTCATTCTTGCAAAAGAAGAATTTTGGCACGAACGACGATAAATCAGCTAAAAGCTCAGGATATTCTAACTCGTTAGGGAGATATTGTCAAAAACTAAATGTTGGGAGCCGACCACCGTGCCATTGGCTCGACATTGGCAAGCCATTTCCAGGGCAGCCAACTTGAAACTAAACCTTTATAAAAGGAGGTCATTCTTGCTACGAAAATGTTTACGTTTGAAAAAGTAAGCATTAGTTCTAAGCTCCCTTTTTACATTACGTTTATATGCATCAGATGTTACATACCTATTCCTCGAGCGATACCACATTGTCTGAACAAATCTATTTGTTTTCCTGTATTTCTGGACTAAAAACTCTTGAATGCAGGTAATTTGCAAATAACAAACGCCGGAAACCTTGTTATCCCTCTGCTCGCCTCACGTCAAACGTAAATAGCATCCAGGGGAAGAGTTTTAAACTCTGAAAGGAAGTTTTGAGTGTAAGACGCCGACAAGCTTATCGACGACGACGACTTTTTTAAAAGTCTTTTATTAGCATTTATCTCGTCCGAAGAGGTTAAATTTACTTCTTAGGTCTCCGTAAAAGTAGATGTAAATTTCTGCTTTAAATCATATCAAGCGAAACTTTTGACGCCGGTTCAATTATCATTGTTGCAAATCTATCAAAACAGGTTATATTTCAATTTGTCAAAACAAGAAGGCGCCTTCACAGTTGGCTTTCTCTCCCAGTGAGATAGATAAAACCAGTTACTCTTGATTAATATTAAATCCAAAGATTTATACTGGATAACAAAAATTAATCCTTCTTTACTAAGCTTGTTCGGTCAAGATGGCTAGATATTAGCTTGGGTTTTGTTATTGCTGTTGCTGTTACTTTTTTTTATAGCGTTTTTATGGACTATCATAAACATTTTTGCGTTTTTATAGACCATCATGAACATCATGACTGTGGCAACCGATTAAGGGATCAATGCATTCCATATGAATGCCTTTGTAGGTCTTTTTACAATGCACGAGTCGTCAGTAAAGCGATCCACGTATTTGAGAAAGGATTTCTGGGATCGCCATTGGGTAAACATTGCGAGTTGCCGCAAGGAAATAGACGGCGAGAGGCTATTTCAAAGTCCAGAGAGATAATGCATGTTTTACCGCCCCTCCCCCCGCCCCCGCTTTTTCCGAAATGGATTAAGACAATATCTATACGAGAGTAAAGTGTGACCTCAAAAAATTCAAAGTGAGAAATGATTCTGCCGGTTCAGAACACGGTTTCCACACATTAATATACTTATCATTTTTGAAATGTTTTATTATCTCCTTGTTGCTTAGTGGCCACCAAATCCTTGCCTGAGGCAATTACGCACCAAAGCTACAGAGAATTCCTTGAAAATCTAAGAAAAATTTATGAAAAAGTCCCAGTTAAGTCTTTTGCTCTCGAGAGGCTGTGAGAATCACGGTCAAGCAATAATTGGAAAATGCTAAAGAGATCATTTGCTAATATTGCTTAGTTGGTGGTCTACTGTTCACTGTATCTTACTTTAATTACCCTGACTTCTGAAGAAAAGATATACTTGTAAAAACTCATCTTTAAATTCAGTTTTTCTCAAAAACAGAAATCATAAAAATGATAGATATACTTATACTGTTGGTTTTGTACCGTGATATTAACTCAGTTCTTGTCGCAGGAACTTACTATACCGTAGATGTTATCAAGTAGTTGTCACTTTCGTGCACGGTCCTACTTACTTATTCAATCTGTCGTCGTTGACCAACCCTCTGCTACTATTTCCGTTATAGGAAATTGTTATTGTCGCCAGGTTTGGCTTGCGTGTTCTTTGATTAGATATTTTCACGAGAACAGGCTTGGCGTGTGTGTTCTTTGATTAGACACATTTACGAGGTTTTACCCGGTTAGTTCAGTTCAAGTGTAGATTCTACTGCGCCAACTTCTACTCGACATTGGGCCATAGTTTCTCTCTACACTGTTACTCATCTATTCTATCAAGTCAAATTCAGTGCGTGTGCAAACCAAGTAAGTAATCGATTCCTTGTTTTCGGGCTTAGTTCCTGGGCTTTTTCTATTGTTATTCGTTTCAGTTAAGTCTCACTTTATCGCCTATCAAATGGCCTATATCGTTACTAGATAGCTTAGTTATTTTTTTCTTTGTACGCTCGGAATCATGCATGATTAGGTCCATATCTCCAATATAATATAAGGTCATTTAACATAAGGGTATCGTCCGAGTTAAACAACGTTTAGCTTATTAATCGTTTTCTTGCCTTCCTTACGTTCAATAAAGGTGCCGACTATATTTGACACTTCCATGTTACGGTCGTTATTGCAATGTTAGCGATAGTTCCTTCATTTGCATTATTTTATCTTCGATATGTTATTTACGTTAGCTTCTATTTTGGTTTTTGTATTTCAGTTCGAACTGGCATACGGTTGACATGATACGATTTACTACTACGCTTACAGCACGCGGTTCATTTTAACTGATTTTGTATCTGTCAGCATCGTAGTCAGAAGTTCTTGTCGAGTTCGTTTAACACTATGCACTATTCAACGCATGTAACTACTTGGATTTTGTCTGCCACATTCTATCCTTGTAATATACAATACGGACCGGACAGATATTTAGAACAGCAGACTTAAACTATTTTTTCTTTTCAATTTGTAAGAGAGTACAAATAGCGTTTTCTGTTCGTATCTATCCTAGTTTGGGACACATATGCTTTTTCTTTTGTTATGTTTTGATTCGGTTAGTTTTTTTTTGTATTATCAAGAGATGCAAAATAAAGTACTTGTGAAGTTGTTTACCAATTCGTGATAAAATTAGGTTCCCAACTTACAACTCTATACCTTTACAGTCTTAAATGCTTGTCAATCGTGCGTAAGAAGCTTCACTAGCAAATATGAAAATGAATAACCATTGTAGGCTTGAAAACCCTCGAGTATGATAGGTTTTCGAATGACAACGCTATCGCATAGCTATTGACGTAAGTGCATAAATAATGTACCACAGTCTTTATTTCTTCACACGGTAAAACTTGCATATCCTAGGTTACATATTTTGATATAATCTTAAATCGCTTGATTGATAGCCCTAAGATAGTGAAGCTTTATAAAACATCAGAAAGCGTAAAAACTGTAGAAATAAGTGAAAACATTTAGGAACTGCAGCTAGTAGCTTAGAACGTTCCATAAATATAAATTCTTCTGAATTAATTTCGATGTGATGAAAAGATTATTTTCTAAAATCGCATTTGATCAACTATATATGGTCGAGTGTATAATTTGATCATTTCTTCTTATCTGCGAATTCTTGGCATTTTAAAATCTAGAATTAAAAGGCGTTGAAAATAATACACGTTTTATTTCTTGTCGTACAAATTACTTCTTAACGTTTCAAAACAGCATCAATTGTTCCGGATTTATTTCTTTGTCAGATATTCAAAAACTGAAATCACAGATATTTTGGTTTAATTTGGACAGCAAGCGAAGTAATTTTTTAATTTCAAATCCACAATGAATAGTACGTAAAAAAGAATCAACATCACCATGCATGCAAATAACTGCACTTAATGCCTGGTCGCGAGGGAAGCAGCTTAACGATGGTGTTTCCCCGGTGGAATTCATTCAAATTCAAGGAAGGCCACTCGATCATCAATCTGCCAATCACAATTGTAATAAAAGCGAAGTCGACCGATCAAAGGACGCAGAAATCACTATTTACAAGAACACTTTGCTGTCAGAAAGTTTTAAAAAAAATCCACTGGTCTAATTTTCATTTCAGTTGATGTGGGGACGCTGCCCGCGGGACTGTTTGAATCTAATTCTCCCCAATGGATAACTTTTTTGAGCACAATAAGCAGGATCTCTATCCCAAGTACCAAAAATGAGATCTTTGTGAGGATTGAGGGAATCAACGGAAACAGTTGCATCTGCTTAAAAAATGATAATAATGAATACCAAAATTCCATAATGTTAGGATTAAGATAACACCTCAAACTCGATAGCTACGCCAATCGACGAAGTAGGGCAGATATCCAAATACAAAAATATCTGGCAAAATAATAAATACTCAAATTTTATGATTTTGGTAAAGCCGAGTTCAATGAATTTTCTATCTCAAGCAGCTTAAGAAAACTATTTACGGAGGAGCGTGAACTAAACTAGGTATGGGCAGAATTAACAGCAAAACACGGTCAAACGCGCATACACTAGAACGAACCATTCTTTGTAGATTACGTGGAGTTGGGAGAAGGGATTGAATTAAAAATCAGTTTTCCATAGGATTCAAGTTGTCACTAACTTGTTAATTTGCTAAGTTTGATGTGGATAAACATCAGCTTAAGCAGCTTTTCTGAAGAAACAAATTTAAAATCGTTTTTAGCAAAACAGCTTTTAAGCTTTGGTGTCAATGGGGCAGTAGACGTCGATAGGGAGGTAACACATAAAAAGCGAACG